GATGTAAATCAAGTAATCGGTGAAAGCTATCCAGCGTTTTGATTGGTTGTTCGTTTTACGGGGGGAGGCTTCAGCTGGGGGGGGTGATGTTAACCGAAGAATTAACTTCGAACGGCCCAAAGGGGACAAGAAGTAATATGAAGTTGATATTTGATTTTAGCCAATCAAAATTTTGCTGATCGACCAACGAAATCAAAGTAACTTGTTTTATCAAAAATATTAACTTGAAAGTATTTGTCAAATTGAACTTTATTCGAAAGTCACGGTTTAAGTAAGAAAACATTGAATACCTCTTAAAGTCAAAGTTACGAATAATTGAATATGGAAAAAAATTTAAGTATTATTATTATTAAAAAAAATCATTTATTCATAAGTAATACTAATTTTACAACGTTTTATTTTCCGTAAATTTATACTCATATACCCGAATTCTACGCTCAAACCTTCTAAACCATCTCCCTCAACATTAATATCTTTAAACAGCCGTTTCTTTACCCCTTTAACGTTAATACAGACATTTTCATTAGTCGGACTTTCGCTTCTTAACACTTTTTCAGATCTCATTTCTTTTAAATCTGGTTCACCATCGTCATCTTCATTAGTCGGACTTTCTCTTCTTAACTCATTTTCTCGTTCTTTTCCTTTCGTTTTTGTTTGTTCACCGCGTTTTAAATCCGGCGATTCAGCAACATCAATATTTTCAATTTCTTCGTCGTTTTCAGAAGTGAGATCATGGATTTCACCTTTTTTTTAAAAAAAAAATTAGGTTTTCAAAAACTAAAAATACTACTTAACTAAGACACTTACTTGTCTCACCAACATTTTCTTCAGGATGATAATTCATATCGCCTTAAATATAATGTTTATAAAAACCCTATCTATTAATACATAGTCGCCTTAAATATAAATATTAATGATTATTAAAGATAAAAAGAACACACTAAGCCTACCTTGTCGCAACAATAAATCTATAATATTTTTTTTATTATTTTTATATAAATTTCTGGTTCTTTCAACAAGAGCAGCGTATTTTCCGGTAGTTGTTTTATGTTTTAAACGAGTATGTAATGCAAGATTTAAAAAATGTCCACAACCACCTGGACAGTTAGGCATACTTAAAAGTTTTTACGAAACAAAAAATCTTGCGTAAGTTATAAATACCAATTCATCTTATCAAAACTAGGGTCTGTCATTACGGCGCAATTAGCATGCATTATGCGTTATAAAGATAACAACAATAACCGAATTACATGCATTATGCTAACAGCAATAACCGAAAATATAAAAAAGTACTCTAATTAAAGTTTAGCATCCCAAAAATAAATATTTTTGATTTTTGATTGTAATAAAGTAATCAATTATACGGGTAACTAATTTGTTAAAAATAGAATTTTACGTGATATAAATCTATATCAGTATTAAATATGGCTGATTGATTATTTGCAATTAGCTCTTGTCTAGCAACTTTAACATACATAATTATTATTGTCTGAAGCGTAGCTTAGCACGTCATATTCTAGGGGCTTGAATCTGAACAATCACGAGATGCACGTATATCACGCTGCGTAATTAGCCAATCACAGATAAAAATTCGTACCATATATAGCAATAGCGCAATCAATTTTATAGGAACTAATTTATGTTTTAAAGTGATTACTTAGTTATAGCAATTAGAGTACTTTTTTATATTAATGTCAGATTTGCATAAAACAGGTCTTGAAATATATTGTCGGTTATTGTGTTTTTATTATTTGTAATCTTTAATATGCATAATGCATGTAATCCGGTTTTCGAGATCTTTTCAAAACCGGGTTATAAATATGTATCGATAAAGTAATTTCTATTACATAAAACCAGAATTAAACTTAAAATTAGAGTAGTTATTATATTGGTGCCAAATATTATATTGGTTTGGTGCCAAATTTGGCTTGAATATATGGCAATAAAATTTGTTTCATATACAAAATTCATTTGATATCGAATCAATATCATATCGATTTTGCATAATCAATTGCCATGACCATAAATCTATATCAGTGTTAAATATGACTGATTGATATTTTTAGGGAGGTGTCATTTATCAGCTGATTTCTCTCACTTAGTAGCCTACCCCCCCTCCCCCCCTGACTCTAAAATTAGCCAATTAAAATGCGTAAAAATTTATATATATAAATTTTAATAAAAATAATAAAAATCTTTAAAGTTTAATAACTTTTGATCTACTGAACCAATTTTAATGATTTAACTACCAAAATGATCCTCTCGATGAGGCACTTCTAACAAGCCCAAAATTATCCAAATCCGATCATGTGATCCCGAGATCGTTAAGGTTTTGTATTATATTTACTATAAGTAAATATAATACAAAACCTTAATGATCTCAGGATCATGTGATCAGATTTGGATAATTTTGGGCTTGTTAGAAGTGCCTCATCGAGAGGATCATTTTGGTAGTTAAATCATTAAAATTGGTCCAGTAGATCAAAAGTTATTAAATTTAAAGATTTTATTATATATTTTTTTAGTTTGTTGAAACTTGAAAGACATTTATACAATTGGCTGAGAACGATGTATTAACCTAAATATGTTAATGCAGGCCAGATATTATATTTATGCCGGCCAGATTATATGATAATGCTGGCTAGGTAATTTTATTTTGGGATCATATTAAAATCCCTAAAAAAACCCGTCTCTACAAACTGGGAACTTATTTATTCACTTTAAAGTACTTTTTAATTTCACTAACAATCGTCACACAAAACATTCATAGCTTTAGATATACTGTGCTTAGAAGACAAAAATATATTGTTTATTGGATGATCTTAAATTGTACAGAAATGGGAACGTTTTTGTTTAAGACTGCCTCATTATATGAATATTTTTTACATTCTTTATTTTAAAACAAAAATTGAAAGGATTCTTTATACAAAAATTAAATCTATCAATTATTTTTTCATTTACTATTTGATTCATATAAACAGTTTGATTACTACCACCATTGTCTTTTCTTTACACCTTTATTCTTTTTCTTCGCCTTCATCATCGTCGTCTTCATCAAAATATCTTTCAATGAATAATGCCAATTTATTATTTTTTCTTTCAAGCTCATAGCTTTCGGTAACAAGCTTCATAATATGATTTTCTTTAGTTTTAATATATGCTTTTTGAGAGTTATTTTCTTTCCTTAAAGTCTCTAATTCAGTACGGCTCGATTCTAATTAAAAATTAAACAAATAGTTAAAAATCTTATTTAATTGTTTTATATATTAAATGAATTTTCTTTAATATTCGATATCTACACAGTTACTCAAGATCCAATTATTATCAACACTCTTCTGGTATTTGACCTGCAAGCTGCTCAGTTGCTCTACTGTCGACCCACATGATAACAATTTCGATCTTAATTCCCTATTTTTATTTTCTAAATCAATAATTTTGTTTCTAAGATTTGTTGCTAAATGGCGTTCATCATTACGTTCCAAATGAACTTCTTCCAATTTCAGATTAAGAATTTTGGTTCTTTCTTGGTCTTCAAATAGTTTGTTTTCTAATTCATCATAACGACGGTTTTCTGCGTAGTAAAGCTACAAATATAAAATCTAAATATAAATTTAATCAAATAGAAATTTTCATTAACTTGTATTATAAGTAATAAAATTTACTTCTCATCCCAACTCCTCAATCTTTGTTTCTTTTGATGCAATTTCGATTTCCATTAGCTTTACTT